CCCAATGGCTGCTGCTGTTCCTTATTTTGATGTATTTGTCTTAGGGAATCAGAGCCACTCCAGAAATTGGCCAAGGTTCCTACAAATCTCTTTATTATCCCAGCAAAAGCAAATGCTGCTAAGGAGGACTCTTTATAATGTTCCAGTTCAGAAGCAAACTCACTGCAAGGTCATCTATGCACTGTTTTCCTCTGTGACCAATAGGACAAGAAAAAAAAAAATTCTCAAACAAACACACCACCTTAAAAACAAATCTTCTTTGATGTTAGCTTCAGAATAGCTTCTGGAAATCCCAAAAGCAGACACCCAACGGTCTCCTCCAATCGAATTTTAATTTTAAATAATGAATGGAACCTCCCTTTAATCATGTCAGTAAATTAATCTTAAAAAAAATCAGTCCAAGAACAACTTCAAAATTAGGAGGAAAATAAGGAAGTTAAGGTAATGAAAAACACTAGCTAGAATGTATTTGTTATGGTTTATTTTCCCTCCACGTGTAGAATATGATTTATATGACTGTTACAAAGGCGGCTGTTAAATAGAACTGTGGAAATTTGAGAGTGATAACATTTGAATACCCAAAGTTAAACCAGTAAGGATAACGGAGGGACATGGGACCGTGGGAAAGCTCCTGGGTGTGTGTGTGTGGGGGGGTATGGGTGCATTGGACGAGGTAGTTGTCGGGACAGAGAAGCTAAAGACTCATCAACGGTTGACTTGTTCAGGAAGGATTTAGGTTTAAGCTGCCAGCTTCAATGGAAGAGACGAAATTCTTGAACTTTTCTGAGGCTCTTGGTTTCGTTACTGGCTCCCATTACCGTGGGCTGCTGCCGGTGGAGAGGGGTGGAGGTCTTGACCTATCTACGTCCAGGCTTTCCAGCCTTCCAGCTCTTGCACACTTGAGCAGCAGGTGAAGAAACTCTGGGTTCTCAAAGTACCCCTCCCAGTCTGTGGCACATAGTAGGACTTCAGCAGCTCTGGCCCCTTTCTGCTTTCAGGAGGGCAAGTCGCCTAAGAGATGTCACATTTCCCTCTCATTTTCCAGCTCTGGATGTGAGGCTGGCGTTTCCAGCGCCTCCCGAGCCCTCCAATCCTTGTAGTTTTTAAGTGGGCAGAGGGAGCCAGAGCGCAGTGTGGGCACCACGGAGCAGAGACCGCGCTGTCCAAGAGTGGAGCGGGTGGCTGAGAGGCGCGGGCTGGGGCTGAGCACGTCCTCCAGCTGGCTCGACAGACCTAAATGAAACAGTAGGTACCTCTGGGAGCACAGCCTCCGGGAGACGTGCAATGGCCTTGAGGACCCAGGCCTAGGTGGGGGTGCCATATCTGACACCGGGGCCTCGAGGGACTGAGAGAGGTTCCAGTTCCCTGTGGGGACAGAAGGGACACTTCCAAGGCTGTTGATTGCCTCTAGAGGGCAAGTCGCCTTTCCCAACATTTCTCATTTGAATACATGAAAATGCGAGTTGATTTTGGCACGAAGATGCACGCTTACGGCCAGAGGGACAGTTTTGTCTCCCGTGGGCGAGGCCGGATGAGGAGCAGCTCCGGCTCCGACATCCGGCTGCGAGCTAGCCAGGTCCGTGCCGCGCCGCTCAGAACCCTGGGCGGCTTGGGGAGCGGTGGAGGAAGGATCAACTCAAGGGCTGTTTTTGTCTGTTTCAGTAAAATCAGTCCCGGCTATGCATATGCGTTGGTTCCTCCCCTGCCCTGCCTCCATCCCCCAGCCCCACGCACACACGCGCCGGGCCAGGGTTGTGAGAACAGCGGAGGACTCCGCAGAGCTGCCAGCCAGGCCCCGTCGGATGGTCTCAGACCCCTAGGTACCCGGCTCAGGCGCTTTGAGAACTGCGAGTTAACTCCTAAATTAATGATTTAATCATAGAAGAAAGGGCGAGGGAAAGGACAGAAGGAAAAGAAAAGAGGCGGCGAAGGAACAGGACCTTGAACGTTAGCCGGACGCGCGGTTCTCTGGCCCTGCCTCTCAGAGCGTCGGGGCGGCCGTGGGCCCTGCAGGCCAGGGCGGCGGTGGCCCGGGTGCCGGGGCCAGGCGCTGGGGCCCTCTGGCGGCGCCCAGACCCTGCCCCAGCCCGGCAACACCTCGGATCGATCGCGGAGGACAAGCGCACGCAGTGAGAGCAGTGGCTTTCAGCGCCCCAGGCCGGCCTCACTCCTAAGCTGAGCCGGTTCCCAGTCGGGGTCGGCTTTGAACCGTGTTAAAGACCACAGGTCTTAGTCTCATTGCGTGTGATTTTCCCCCGCAGGAGAAGGACTTAAGCTTCTTATCCGGGTAGGGGGTAGAGGCCTGAGAGGGAGGGCAGACCACCCCGCACAGAGCGTGGCTAGGCCCACGGCCGCGATCTGACCTGACCACGAGCCCGTGG